CGCATCAACCATAAGACCACCTTAATACACATTCAATACTTTAAGGATGAAATTAATACAATTAAAATGTTGGAATCAAAATGGCACAAATCCCATAGTTGAGAGACTAAAGTTGTAAGTAGCCTAACTCTATGCAAACAAAATCTCTCCCAAACACAAATCAACAAAACTTGGAAAACCTAGGTCTAGCTAAATCAATTGCCTTCACCCTGGAGAATGGTTAAATATGTACTCATATATGTTAACACAGGTGGAGGAAGGGGGTCAAAGGATCCTGGCCCTTCTAAAATTTTAATAAAGTCTAATTTAATAATAGTTTAATTTTTAAGAAAATCTATATTCCATGTAATCGCCCTCCCAAACTCAATCTGGCATAACTAAAAAATTGAAAAGCTCGGTCTATAAAAGTTGTCTCTCAAAATTTAATGCCTCATAATGGCCTCAACATTTAATTCAACCTCTTATTAAAATCCATTAGTGATCACCTGTTAAAAAACTTACAATAAGAACACACAAAACTAGATTCATTTGATTGGTATGAAATCATATTGAACAAAAAAATAAGTTTTGTTAAAAGTATTTAAATTATACTAGAGAAAAAATATGGATTCCATACATACATTACTATAATTTTTTAAATCTCCCAGTAGGTTTTTATAAATTTTAGTCACCATGTATAATTGTTGACTCTAAAAACCCACATTCCAAAATTCCATCTAATATTTCCTAACACGATTATGATTATAGTTAAGTTTTATCATATATGCGCATGTGTGTGCATGTCCCAAGTAATCATGCAAAGGAAGATTGTAAGATAGAACTATTTAATCTTTGCATATTGAAGTTCCTTCACATGCATAGCTCAAGAATGGAAAACATATATATATATCAGCACACACTATAAATTTTTGTTTGGTGGGATAATGCCAAAACTTTTGCAAATTATCAAATCATAAACAAAAAGAAATCTTAATACATTAATGCCATTGTTTTTTACCCAAGACCAAAAAAAAAAAAAAACCAACAAATATATGAACTTTTACAATTGTACTCGACAGGGTTGCCTATTTTGGAATCCATGCATAATATAAACTCATTATCAATACTATCAAATATATCCTTTTGAAGGCATAACCATCCATTCAATTACGCAATCGATTCTTTATAATTTCATCGTTGAAAAAGCTCTTTTCTACTTTTAAAATCTCGATCAGTAAAAGTAATGCTAATTTTACAAGCAGATCAATTGACCTACAACATATGTATAGTCTACACCAACTTTCTACAAATTTACCCAATTCCATGTAGTTCTAACAATTCATTGGCATACAAAAATTAAAAATAAATAATCCACCACATCAGAATTTATCCAAATCAAAAACCCTAAACCCTAGATTAAAGCAAATTGAACACTAAATCAAAAAGAAGAAGCATTGTAGATGAAGAAACAAATATTAAAAGTTGAAGGTAATACATGTTGTGTAGATACATATATAGAGGGTAATGGGGTTTAGTGGGTGAGAAAAACTTACATGTGGATGTGAGAGATTGGTCTTGAACTTGAAGTCCAACTCTGCACACTGATCTTCGTCTCTGATGTTCAGAAAAAACGGAAAAGCATCAAGCAGACTTGAGTAAGATGGGCATTAGACATGCGAGACTATTTTTTTATACCCCACTCGTAAATATAATAATAAAGGGCAAATTACAAACACCCCTCGAGATTTGATAAAAATACAGATTCTCTCTTGAGATTTGAGAAATTATAAATTGTCTCTGAAAGTCAAATTTTCATAATAAATTAAGAAAAATTAGGGAAGAATTGAAAATAAAAATCTCAGGAGGCAATTTGTTATGAAAATATAAACTTCAGGGGGCGGGATGTAATTTCTTAAACTTCAGGAAAAATCTATATTTTCACCAAACCTCGAAGGGGGTGTTTGTAATTTTTCCAATAATAAATAAACAAATAATAATATAATATGTACATAATATGTTGTTGAGTTTTTAGAATATATAATATTTGTAGAATGTATTGTTAAGTTTCTATTATGTTATATATATAATTTAAATTTAATATTTGTATAATATATAATACATTTGTTTATTATAAATATAGTTTTTTAGTTAGATGCTCAATTCATAAATTTAATTTTGAATTTCTTAGGTCTAAACCTTCACGTGTTAAATTACTATGTCCATAAGGACATGTCTTTTATTTGTTTGGCCTTGTGTGTTGAAATTGAACACCCTCCACATCTCTCTCTCACTTTCTCTCTCTTTCTCTCTCTCTCTATGGCTCTTCTATGGTCGCCGCAATCCACACCCTACTCCTGTCATCCGCCTCCGTCAATGTTGTCTCCGACAGAGATGTCGAAGGTGGCGGAGGAATAGATCGTGCATCGTTGCCGCCGAAGACGAATCTTCTTCTTTCTCTTCTTTTTTCTTTTCCTTCTTCCTTTCTCTCGAAACCCTAACCCTATATTTAGATCGACTACCACTGTGCTGTTGCCATTGTTGCCGTCCTACTTCTTCCTCTTCTTCTTCTTCATCATCATCTTTATCGTCGTTGAATCATATTACTCAATTGATACTCAATAGGCATAATCGAAACCTCATTTTTCTCTCTCTACCTATTTCTCTCTCTCTCTCTCTCTCTCTCTCTCTCTCTCTAATGGCGACTACTCCGATGTAGTCTCAACCTCTTCACAACTTCTCTCTTCTATTCTTGAAATGGGGCTACAAGAACCAGATGAACACCAACCACCACTACTGCTCGCCCCTCCGAGACAATGGTTTGGTACTCTTCTTTGTCGCCACTACCGCTGACAGTGGATAACCACCTCTTGTCATCGTTAAAGCACGACTCTGACTGTGGTGGTGGTTCTGGTTCTAAGAACAAGCCAATGTCAAAGAACCCAAACTTTGTAATCTCCCTATACGCCTTCTCACCCTCCTCTCTCGACCCTCTTGCAATTCAACAACCTTCAAATGCTATGCTTGCGAGAAATCTCGCAGAGGCTTCACCTACCATTGCTCACATTGTCAACTTGATCTTTGCAACAATTGTCATAACCAAACACCATATAAGACATAACTAAAGAGTTTTTGAATTATAACTAAAATAATGTCATAACCAACATTACAATAAGTCATAACTAACACCACAATGTGTATAACCAAATTATAACCAACACCTTAATAGGTTGTAACCAAATACCACAAAAATCGTAGCTAGGGGCATATAGTACACATTTCAAAATGAGACCTCTATACATTAAAATGTTATTTACTTATATAGCATTAGGCATTCAAATTTGATGAAAATTGATGAATTTTGTTCTTTGTTATTTTCTTTGTTTATTATGTGGAAATTGATGAATTTTGTTCAAAAACAAAGAAAACAAGGAGAAGTGAAATAATAATAATCATAAAATATAATTAGATGACAAATTTAACTCACTGAGTGAAGTGCTTGTTTTCAAAGATATCAAATTTAAATATGTTAATTGAGAATGAATTGTGAATAATATTTTAAAATTATAAGAACAATAGTAGATGTTTAATTATAAATGATGGGACTACAAGATCTCACATTATTCTATATAAAATTTTCTATACAAAAATTACAATTGTATATTATTAGTCTAAATGCATTTTTGAAACTCATGTACAATGGCTTACTAAAACAAAGCAATATATGGTTCAAATTTTTATCTCGTATTAAATTTGTTATAAATCTAAAGTACTTTTCTACGTTCCCAATTTATAGTAATTTAGTAAATGTGACTGAGAAATAGCATTTGGCATCATATAATTATAATTGGTGTTCTGTATCTCTCTCTTCCTCTATATTTTCAAATAGTTCTATAGAATAATAGGGCAAATTACATATACCTCTCGAGGTTTAGCAAAATTACAGATACCCCTGAAGGTACTATTTGCATAACAAATTAGGAGACAAATTGTTATGAAAATATAAACTCAGGGGGCAATTTGTTATGAAAATATAAACCCTAGGGGGTATCTGTAATTTCCAAAACTTCAGGGGAGTATCTGTAATTTAGCTAAACTTCGAGGGAGGTATATGTAATTTGCCCTAGATAAAATAATACTCCTATTAAAAATTTCACTAAAAATAAGAGACATTAAATATGATTGGATGTGTAAAAATAATGATTCTTAAATATATTTGAATGTACATATTTTTAGTAAGAATTTTAGTATATGTAAGATTACTCATATTTTTTCACATTATTGCAGGTGGTTTCTACACTAGAACATATTATGGAAGGGAAAAATCCATGGGAGGGAAAAACATAGTTGTCCAATATTGAAAGGTCATGATGAAAAAGCTGAACAAGAAAGCAACATACAAATGTTGAGTCAAGTAAAGCCACCAAAATTTAAAATAATCACTTTGAAAAACAAATCAATATTTATTAATTACAATATCAAGTGGTATGTATTGATTGTTCAAAAAAAAAAAAAAAAAATGAAAAAAATGAAATGTATCGAAAATCAATAGATAGACGTTTTGGTCAGCATCTTCACCAACCAATACAACAAGAAGGTCAGCACATCCGCCATTTATAGCTCTACTCCTTGTATTGCCAAGAGGTTATGGGAACAAATTAAAAAAAAAAAAAAAAATGTATTGCAATGCATTTTCTCAAGTAAACATGTACGTTTTTTGGTTGGACTTTTCTTATATTTAGATCTTAATATGAGAGAATTTGGGGCCATTTTTCAAAATAAGTCAAACTACTAACCTATTTCTCAAACTAAGCCTAGTTTAGCCGAAATTCTCAAAATAAGCTAAAACGTTATTCCAAATCACGCTTTCACCATATATTCTGGCCCAGCCGTGAAAAATAGATAAAATCATAAAAGCGTGGTTACAAACCACGCGTTTAAGGAAATATGTTTGTAAAGAAAGCGTGGTTAAAAACCACGCTTTTAAAGAAAAATGTTTTGTAATCAAACTAAAAAATAAGTAGGGAGGTAGCTCAAATAGTAGCGTGCTCCTTTCCATGGGAGAGGCATAGGGTTCAATCCCCAACATCTCCAAACTCCTGTTTTTTTCAAATTCAATTCAACCTTTTTCTTTTTTTCCCTCTCCACTTACTCTTTACTTTATATATTTATGTAATTTTTTGGATTGGAGGACATGTTAGGAAGAAACGAAAAGCGTTTGAAACAACATTTTTGGATTTATTTTTTTAAAAATATTAAAAAATGTTTAAGAAAATTTTATTTTTTTATTTTAAATATATTTACTTATATAGCATTAGGCATTCAAATTTGATGAAAATTGATGAATTTTGTTCTTTGTTATTTTCTTTGTTTATTATGTGGAAATTGATGAATTTTGTTCAAAAACAAAGAAAACAAGGAGAAGTGAAATAATAATAATCATAAAATATAATTAGATGACAAATTTAACTCACTGAGTGAAGTGCTTGTTTTCAAAGATATCAAATTTAAATATGTTAATTGAGAATGACAACACATTAATATTTATTTATTTATTTTAATGTGCATTATATTTCATACATTTATGTGTTATATTTTTTTAATATTTTAAGTATTAAAAAATTTAAAAAAAAAATTATTTTTTTATTTTAAATATAATTATTATTATAAATATTAGTTAACCAAACAAACGTTTTACTTTTTTTGATAACAAAATTACATAATAAATATATAAAGTATAGAGTAAGTGGAAGGGAAAAAAAAAATATATATATATTGAATTGAATTTGAAAACAGCAAGAGTGTGGAGATGCGGGGGATTGAAACCCGTGCCTCTCCCATGGAAAGGAGCACACTACCATTTGAGCTACCTCCTTACTTGTCTTCTATTTTGATTACAAAACATTTTTCTTTAAAAGCATGGTTAGAAACCACGCTTTCTTTACAAGACAGATTTCCTTAAACGCGTTATAAGATTGTAACCGATTTCCTTAAACAGATTTCCTTAATTAAAAGCGTGGTTTGTAACCACGCTTTTATGATTTCCGTTCTCCGTGGCTGGGCCAGAAATATGGTAAAAGCGTGATTTGGAATAATGTTTCAGCTTATTTTGGGAATTTCGGCCAAACTAGGCTTAGTTTGAGAAATAGGTTAGTAGTTTGACTTATTTTGGGAAATGGCCCAAGAATTTGAGAGGTTTATAAGGCCCATCACAAGTTCCGTTACAATGATTCAAACCGATTATTTTATAAGATCCTCAATGTATAATATCCATGAAAAAAATTAATTCGATCCAACAATCGTAATTTTTTTTTCATTTTATTACATTTGTTTCCAAAAAAACAGACAAAAACTATATTTTGAAATAAACCGTCCATTTTTTTTAAAAAACAAATGCTATAAAATGAAAATCTTACAGTTATAGGATTGAGATTAACCTCAATTTTTTCATGGATATTATATATTGAAGATCTTACAAAATGAACGGTTCGGATTATTGAAATAGAACTCTTGGTGGGCCTTATAGACCTCTCAAGTTCTCTTAAGTTGAGATCCCAACATGAGAGAAACTGAACCTTTTTTTTTTTGTTTCATCAAATAATGATAGTGCATCGATTGAATATAATTATTATAGGATAAATAATACACAACAAAAATAATCAAATTCAGACATACATTTTAAACTTAAACCGAATTCATAGATCATATGGGTAAATTATGTGCCTTCAAACGATGAACCTAAACTTTTCTCAATGGTTGAGTGGAATTATTAGAAAACTACCCACACAACTCACAATACAAATGAATGGTTGTTCTTCAATTGCAAAAAGTTAAAAATAAAAAGGTAAAGAAATTTTTTGATCTCTCAACTTGCATATTACATATCTGTAATATATTGTGAGAGATGTAACTACCTACAACCCTATATCCTTATAAGATGAGATAGTGAATTATCTACACTTATCCTTAAAATGAAGTGATTCAAAAATCAAACTAATTGAGTCTCTAAATAGGGGGAGGGAGGAGATTCAATTACACCCAAAAATCATTAAGTATGCCCAACTAAAATTTTGAATTTTAATTCCTATTATATCTTCATGTAAATTTATTAATAAGGACAACACATATCAAATTTTAAAATAAATTTTTTCTCATGGTACATTCTAATCACATGTACGTATTATTCATCTTCTTTCTGAAGTTTCAATTGTTTTATCTTCTTCTTCTTCCTCACTACAAAACTCCAAACCACCTCATCAAAACTCACCATTATCATCAACATTATTGTTTTTTATCCTTGCTAATAGAAAAAAAGTTTGAACAAAATCAAACAATGGATGAGAATAATAACGAAAAGCTTTTTTTGAAACATCCCATCAAAGAAGAAGTAAGTATTCACATAAATATCAAGGTACAATTCTTGATTTTCGTGTATTTTTTTTTATACATAAAAATGAATATTTAGTTTGTTTAACGTCATTGGTGTTTGAACTTTCGGATCTAAACAAATTCGCCTCGTTCGGCAGTGCCCAAACCCATGTCTAAAATCCAATTCGATTTCCAACAATTATCATTAAGTTTAGGGAAACAAGACGAATCAGAAAATTTACACACATGAGACTTTGAGGCCCCATTTTAAAGAAACAATTTCACTCAAATTAATTCACTTATATTTTGGTGTCCCTAGATTTATTATATAATAGTAAGTAATGAAGCATTCATGATTTTTTATGACTATTTTTTCTATATAAATAAATTTTGAGTAATGATAGAGATACAAAATATTCTACCAAAAAATCTACCATGTGAGTGTTCATTAGATTTTTTGGTACAATATTTTGAAATGTCTAACATTTTTGAATATTTTTTGTCATGTTAATGAATTTCTAATAATCCAATTTGTGTATTATTAATGCAAAAATATTATCGTGTTACTTGTTTTATGGGACATAATTATTCGTGCTTTTGATATATCATCTAATATATAATTTATAACTATTTTAAAAATGGTTAATTATCTTTTTGGTCCTTAACAGTATGAGGTTCACGTTATTTTAGTCGTTAATGTTTAAAACATATCAATTTAGTCCCCAATCTATAAAATATGTTTTGATTGGGTCTCCCAATCCAACTCCATTTGCAAATGTTATTAATGTCAGGGGCAAATAAGAAAAAAAATTTATTCTTTCAATCCTCCAAGAAAGAGTTTTGTGTTGTTTTGACCCCTAACATTTTTAAATTACATCAATTTAGTCACAAAAGTATAATATTTGTTTCAATTTAGTCTCCCACCCTAATTTTGTTTTACTTTAAAAACATATGAACCATAAATACCCATTAGCATAAAACGAAAGGAAAACAACATTTTTTGAGAGCAATATTTAGGCCATCCAAATATATATATATATACTAGTATAAAATACCCCTGCAAGACATAGACTATTATTGTAATAAATTTAAATTAGAATATAAATTTTCTAACAGATTATTTCTTTTGGTATGATTTTGTAAAAATTATTTTTAGACAGATTTTAATTTGTTTTAATGAATTTTTTTTATATATTTTATTCAATTTTGTTTTTTTAAGATCTAGATGCATCTAAAAAAGAAAATTAATTGACTAAACTATTAAAAAAATTCACTAAAAACAAATAAAAATCAAATCAAATACTTGCATGTATTTTTGTTCAATTTTATTTATTTTTAGGTTAAATTACACTTTGCACCCATGCACTTTGCACCAAATCTCCCTATGGCCCCTATAGATGAAATCATGACAGTCAACCACCTATACTTCTGGTCAAATCCCACTTTAGTCCCTACACATGAAATTATGACAGTCAACTCTCTGTACTTTTGGTAAAATCTTACTTTAATCCTTATACAAGTGTCAATATCCCCTTTCTATTACTTAATTGTTTAAATATTTAATAAAATCTAGTTATGTGAAAAGAATGTGACAGACTATTATTGTAATAAATTTAAATTAGAATATAAATTTTCTAACAGATTATTTCTTTTGGTATGATTTTGTAAAAATTATTTTTAGACAGATTTTAATTTGTTTTAATGAATTTTTTTTATATATTTTATTCAATTTTGTTTTTTTAAGATCTAGATGCATCTAAAAAAGAAAATTAATTGACTAAACTATTAAAAAAATTCACTAAAAACAAATAAAAATCAAAACAAATACTTGCGTGTATTTTTGTTCAATTTTATTTATTTTTAGGTTAAATTACACTTTGCACCCATGCACTTTGCACCAATCTCCCTATGGCCCCTATAGATGAAATCATGACAGTCAACCACCTACACTTCTGGTCAAATCCTACTTTAGTCCCTACACATGAAATTATGACAGTCAACTCTTTGTACTTTTGGTAAAATCTTATTTTAATCCTTATACAAGTGTCAATATCCCCTTTCTATTACTTAATTGTTTAAATATTTAATAAAATCTAGTTATGTGAAAAGAATGTGACAACGACATAAGAGTAAGAAAGAAAAAACATATACATTTTTCACAAATACACACTTTATCCTAAAATTTTACATCAAAATATGACTGTATTAGACTAAAACAAAATGCAGATTGTGAACAATTAAGAAGATAAACTAGGATTTTGCATAAATTGAAATCATAAAACTCTATTTTTCACGGTAACACAATCTTC